TCTGTTCTCATCCCCAGCTTCAGTCAGGCTAACAGGCCCAGTCCATCTTTATGTGCCGTACCTGAACTCCACCTCCACTGCACTGAGCTCCTTCAGGTCATCACTGAGCTCGAAGGCCCTCAGGATAGGATCCTCCTCAGTGAGCATAATCAGGGATGGACTTGCCAGGCAGCGGTAGATATCCAGGCGAAACCTGTGGGAGAGCAAGCGTAGAAAGGTGGGAAAATTGAGGATGGAAAGCTGGTGGAAAATTGCCTTGATATGCTATATGTTCACTGTGGGGTCTGTCCTAGGAACCCCCTGAAATATGTAAGCCCTGATGTGCCAGGAGTGACACATCCCAAGGAGGGAGAAGCATTTTCCTGCATACTGTCTCGGCTTAGTTCATGTCCAATGAGCAATGCTTTAACTTCCTCAATTCGCCGTGTGGTATTTGAAAGTCTTGTTAGTAAGTCTAGTAACTGAGGCAGGAGTTTCCACCATCCATGTTTAACAGATGTGGCTGTGATGTGTCATGACTTAGAAATGGTTGACATTTGAAGCGGTTTGCCACAGTGGGGAAAAAAAAATGTTTAAAAATAGTACGTAGGAAGCATTACTGCAGCGGAACAGAAGCTAGGGATTTAGAGAGTGACAGACGTTTACAACTCACCGGATTGATTTGCACAGGCTGAAACAAAGACAGAAAGCCTATGTACTTGTATGTTGATCATATAGCTTTATGTGAGTGATTCAGTGTCAGTAAATGATGAGGAAAAACAGAGCCAGTAGAAGCCCATGCGGAGCCACAGGCAAGCTGCACTCCCCTGTCTCCCCCCCCCCCCCCCCCCCCCCCCCCCCCCCCCCCCCCCCCCCCCCCCCCCCCCCCCCCCCCCCCCCCCCCAGGTGCAGTCTGCAGCACTCTACATGCGCCGTCTGCAGGGGCGTAGCTAGAAATTCTGGGCCCCCTGACAAAATGTTACTTGGATACAATTTTCCGAGCAGGCTGGGTGGGGGGGGTACTTGTTTTTTTAGATTTTGCCAAGAGGAGAGTCCCTGATGGTACATTTCAGGGCCACTATAAATTCCTGGGCCCCCTGAATCTGCAAGGGTATCCATGCCCCTCTGATGCCCCTGACTGTCCAGGACAAATTGAAATCAGCTGGCTACATGGGCACCCCCTCAGCAGAGGGCACCCTGGGCCGCCCATGTCGCTTAATTGGTAGCATGGCACTGAAAAACCAAATGAGTTGTTTGGTGTCTGCCGTAAGGTGACCGAGGCACCGTGCCTGGAGTGCCGAAGGCTGTCCTTCCTGTTCTTGACGCGGCACAGGGCACAGGGGCAGCCCACGGCATGCGGGCGCGGCAGCGAGGCTTCGCGGCGCAGCAGCAGCGCCAGGATCTCGTAGCTGTTCCTCTGGGCGGCCAGGATGACGGGCGTGACGTCCATGGTGGTGAAGTACTCGCTGTTCTGGATCTGCTCCATCAGTTTCTGAGATGGCAGAGACGTCAAAGCCCCGTCCTTTATGCGGACCCACACACACGCCAACCCCCACACCAAAACACCCAAAGTACCATTAGCTTCTCTACTCACACTATGTGTTGTGCACTTCAACTAGACCAGAGGGTTTCATTTTATTTATTTGTTTGTTTGAATTTATTCATAGTTGAATGATTCTTTGCTTTTTAGTATTTAACATTTAATAAATTAAGTATAACTGAACATTATTCATTATCTTTAAATGTTTATTTATTTCTGTATTCTGTTTTCCAGGATGTTTTATTTGCGTTTACTTTTGCACTATATGTGTCTTTGCACCTTGTTTGGCGCCACATGTATGTTTGTCTGTGCACCGTGTTCTTGCTGCCGAATGTGCTAGGATTTCCCATTGGGGTCAATGAAGTCCGTCTTAACCCTAATTGTATATACAGTGGGGCTGGGTGGCTTGGCGGGAGCTGTGCCTATGATGGGAAGGTCAGCGGTTCAAATCCCAGGGTCAGCAGAGTGATTATACCCTGGGTCCCCTAAGGAAGACCCTTAACCCACAAAAATGTATGTTACTTCAAATACAAATGTCTGTTAAATAAATGTTATGTATATTATTATTTTTTTCAACTGCTCTCCAAGTTACTGCCATATGAACCCGTTTATGTGGGAGGGCTCCGGGGCCGTAAATAACCTGACACCCGGAAATCAGGTAAGAGGAATTTTTCTTTCTCGCTGGTGGTTATAATGGCATGAAGCATCGGCGCAGGAACCAAACGGAGGCGGCACCGGGGTTTGTGGGCTCACGCAGCTCTGAACAGGGAGCGGCGCACGGACGGCCGTGCCGGAATGCCGGGGAAGCCGTTCATTCACAAAAAGGCACTTCAGAACCAAAACAGGAAAAAGGTCTGATTTTCTGACAGTGGCTTTGTCACATTTCACCTGCACACAATACACAACGAAGGCACAATTCTACTGACTTTACACTGAGAATCAGATGCTCTTATACTGAAATGGAAAATAAATGAGTCTGTTTTCTGAGGCTGTCATTATGGAATGATAATAGAAACAACATTAATAAAACACTATCCATCTTCCCGCTGCTTAGCTATTTATGTGGCAGAGACTTTTATCCAAAATGACAACCATCTTTCCAGAAAGCAGTCAGTCAGTCTCAGGACCAATTGGGGGCTTAAGGGCCTTGCTAAAGGACCCAATGGTGATGTCAGTCTACCCACCCCAGGATTTTATCCAGCAACCTTCTGGTCACAGGCACCGTGTCCTAACCCACTGAGCCGGGCACCACCAAGTTTATGGTGGGGGGGGGCTGGAGCCTATGCCAGGAGGCACAGGGCACAAGGCAAGGGTACGTCCACTTTCTGTACTCGCTTGTCCTATTCAGGATCGTGGAGATCCAGAACCTATCCCTGAAGCTACGGACGCAAGGCAGGGAATAACCCAGGATGGGATACCAACCCATCACAGATAATAATAATAATAATAATAATAATAACAATAATAACAATAATATAAGTTGGACTGACTGCCATGGATGCTGGGCGTGGCTGCCGGTGATTGAGGAGGATGTCTACAGCTTCCACTATTTCTGAACTGATGGCCAACAGAAGTGCATCTGTGGACTAAACAAATATAATCGGAGTAAAGCAACCATGATCGTCACAGCAGAGTTTACATTAGTATTTACGGGTCTGATATTCCGATGCTCCTCATGTCTGGGCACAAAGCTAGAAGCCTACTGGTTGGCTAACTGGGTGCCAAATAATCAGTCAAGAAAGTGTGCTCTTTTCTGATTGGCTGGCATGGTGAGGATGGCATCACCTGGCAACCGTGCTGCAGCAGCAGCTGCAGGACATCCAGGCTCTGGCTCTTGACGGCGACGGACGCCGCGCTGCGGCCCAGCACATCCATACAGTCGATATTGAGGCCCCTGTGGAGACCCTCCTCCAGGAGGCTCTTCACCGTGTAATAGTCACCTAGACGCAAATGACATCAGCCAGTGCAGAGTCCCTCCCACGCATCACAGCCCGTTCCGTGACATCATTTCCATCCAGGGACAAAGACACTCCGCAGAACTCATTCTTGCAGACCTTTATATGGTCAGAACCAGAGACGCCATTACTCACTGGGGCCTTGTTGATACAAGCTCTCTCCACTGATCCGTATAAACTAGCAATTGCCAAATTCTCCAATCTCACCAACGAACGGACTTTCTCCCACCGACAAGCTTCAAAATCAGAAGAAAAACACAGCACAGCACAGCATGCTATCCATCCGCTTCGCCACTCTGTTTGTGTTTGGGGACTAAGAGTTGGGAGCCTTGTGTGACTTGGACAAGCACAGATGGAAAGCAGAGGGCAAGGAGCCCAAAAAATGCAAGGCTGCTAAAGAAATAAATAGCTAATTAAATGGCAAAACTGTTTTAAGAAAAAATCTGTAGATAAGCCATCTGTCTGCCCCGTCACTCTCCAGAAAAAGAAGAACTTGTCAATGCCAAATATACTTTAAGGCAATAAAACGTGTTATTTAAATTCTTTAGATTCATAAAAAAAAAAAAAGATGTGCGCTAACCAGAACAGATAATTATTTTACTGCTAGCAAAATTCATTGAGTCACTGTCTGGATATTTGCAGTGTTATGCAGGTTTCTTGGTGCTGTGTATAAAGAGCAGAGATTAAAGCAATTGGTACTTTAAAACTCACCTCTTTCACAAGCCAGCAAGAAGGTCTTCTCATTGAGGGTTAGCTCGTTGCTCTCCGCTCTGACTTCTTTGAGCCTCGCGTACTTTCCTCGGATGGAAGGGTTCGCCTTCCGATAAAGATAATCCATGATCACAGGCAGAGATACAGCAACAGATCCACAAGTAAGCTGGGAGTAGACGGCTGAGGGAGAGGAATGTCCCCAGGAGCAGATCCAGAGGCGGCTCACAGTGTACTCGTGCGAGGCGGCTCACGGTGTACTTGTGCGATCCATCACTAGAATGAACTCAGTGTTCTGAGTTAAGGTAAACGCATACAAATAAGACAAACCTACTCATTCACACATCTATCAATGTAGGTGAACTGACAACAGTAATGAGGTGGTCAGAATTCTTGTATCCTGTATTGTAACTATATAATGTTAAAAAAAAAGAAACATCGATTAATGTCTTAATTTAGTTAACACCTTCAGGCAATTACGCACTTAAATGTACAACCAGAACCTGAAAACTAAATACTGTGCAAAATAATTTCCTTTAATTTTCAATGATGACTATGATGGTTTATGAGAATAAATACCCGAAACAAGGTAAAACTTATTGGGTAAATATGATTTTATTATTAAATTAAAAAAAAAAAAAAACTTTGATATTTATCACACAGGGAAAAAGGACAATACTGTAGAAACCATACTGGGCCATATTCAACCTTAAAGATCCTGAATTTTAGGACATGATGAATGAGAAGAAAATACCACAAATCCCATGAAACGCATTGAAGATGCTGAAGGTCCCACAGACCTTTATATGACAATAAAATCACAGTCGACAGCTTGGGTGGGGGGCTGGGTGCGGGACGGGGGCAGTGACACGGGTGGGGTTGGAACCTGCCACCTTCTTCAGGCCCAGAGCCATCAAGCATGCAAACACCGTCAGCACCATCTTGGGTTTCACCTCCAAAAGGTCCTCTGGGAGAGCATAGACCTTGGCCCCAATTTTACGAGACACCGAAATAGCATACCTAGCAGAAATGAGGGGAAATTCCTGTCAGATGAAGGGGATTAGGGAGCTGATAAATACAATCGAAAGCCAATGAATAAAGAAAATAAGCCGGTTTACAGAATGCACACTTTAAAATGAAAAAAGTAATAAAAAAAATTAAACTGCTATTTTGTTACAACTAACTGACAAAAAGTTTTTGCTGAAAATCTTACTTTGCATTATTAAGTTTGTCATCATCGGTGAAGTCGTCTCTCTTCACCATCTCTGCTTTTATGGCGTTCGGGGCAATGGTGTCGATGAGATCAATCACTGGCAGGCTTGTGCTTATCGACTTATCCTGATATGATTGTAATAAATCTCGTTATACAATTTACAGCTGCATATCTACGAGAGCTACATGTTGAACTTACCAGGGTACATTGTACTCACAAAAAGCACAGGTAAGATAGAACCTGAAACTACACACATGTTGAACAACCACTAATGGCCCAGATTTGATATTAAATTCAAGTGCCCCTGGATACAACCCCTTTACTAGGTTACCTTGAAACTGGTGATGAACGTACTCTTCTTCCCACATTGTAGTGAATCATTCACCCAGTTGATGATTATCTGGTCGTTGACTTTTTCGCCGTCTCCCAGAACAGAAAGCACCATCAGCGTGTACCTGTGAGCCAAATGGAAGGGATCTGGCTTCAATAGACCCTTAAACCGAAACTGGCGTTTACATGCACAAAAAACCACACTGTAGTTCAATGGGAGGTGCTATATTGAACCTTGGCGTCTTCAGCTATGTTCTCCGAAGTAGCCTGAAGGCCAAAGGTGCCCTACCTCCTCATTATCTGCCAGACCAAGGCCAGGGTGTGCATTTGGCTCCCCTCGTTTATGTTTTCTCCGCCGATCCCCACCAGGGAAAACTTGGCCTCCCGCTTCCCCAAATCAACGGCATAGTTGCAGTTCTCAAGCTACAGGGCACAGGCGATAAACCACACACTTAAGAAGACCTCTTATCCCACGTCAGCAGACACACAGCTGTTTCACCATTATGGTCAGACAATTGGCGTTGCTCTAAGATTCTCTTAAAACAAGCGCTGTATACTTTCATTACAGTAACTTAATCTGCATTTTCAGCTGCATTCAAAAAGGGAGCCTTTTAATAATTTAAACAGAAGATTCCCCAGTTTCCAGAACACCTATTTATAATATTTAGTTCCAATATTAAATGCAAATGGACACTGACTTCCCCCAAGTATAGCAATGACATAACCCAACACAAGCAACATGCAAAATGATCCCCCTATAAATTAAATTATTATACACTTAAACAGAAAGAGGAAATCTCTGATCCTCTGAAAAATTAAAATGTGATATGGCATTAAATATATCCTGCGATAGACTGGCATCCTGTCCAGGGTGCACCCCTGCCTTGTGCCCAGTGCCGTTTGGCATGATCCCCAGGCAGCCATGTCACTCTGCCCGGCACAAACGGTTAAAAGATGAATGGACGGGTAATAAACGTTGAAAGGGTTCTAATTTTACATTTGACCGTCTAAAGACCCACTGACCTTTTTCATGTTGGATCCCAGTGCAGCGTAAGGTGGCCTGTTTACTTTCCTGTAGTCCACAGGGACCTGGATCCTCTCATACAATTGAAAAATGACCAGGGCATCTACCAGGTCGCTGTGAAGAAAAAAGAGAGGAAGAACAATAGAGATTAATCAGCAGTGAAACAAAAGGGTGATCCATGAACATAGCAAGAACGTCAATAAAAGAGGAAAATACCGATATAGATGGTTGACGTATGGTGTCACCCCTAAGGAGTTCATCCAGTTCCGGAATGTTCTCTCCTCTCTGGATTCCCCTGGAATTATAATAATGCAGAAATATGTTGCTCTTTTAAGTGCTTGGGAAGCAGTGGGGCTTGTAATAAGCTCATTTTATTTGACTCTCCTCCCATTCATAACTGTTTCCTTTCCACCAAAATGGCAGACATGTGGCAGATTTTTTCATAAGAGGGTACCAGATGTTATTGGAAAATAAGAATTAATATGAATGTTAATTACTAATAAAATACAAAATGTTGCTAATAAAACACAAAATGTATATAATAGATATAACATAAACATAGCCAGGCCAACTGCTAGATGATTTTTTTTTGCTGCTCACTGTGAAAGACCAAGGATCCCCCCTCCCAATAAAGCAAATGATAAACAGGGAAACAAATCAGAGACTGAGGTAGCAAGTATGCCATTTGCGCAGGACTATAGATATGTTTCTGGATGTCTGAAGAAGAATTCTGTGAGTTACTTGCTTACGGACAACAAATATGCTTCCCTGCAAGATTTTTTGGTCTTGTTATTAACTTGAATACTTTCAATCACAAAAAGTTATTGAATGTACAATATGACAGCAAGAAACACACAATAGGAAGTATGTGCTAAGATCCAGAAAAAAGACCTTGGACACGGAAAGTCACGAGGATAGGACAACGGGTTAAAATTATTACATACCCATATGACGCTCCAGGTATAACGACAGACACTTATTAATGTGTCCCTATTGTACAAAACTACACCATTTATATGATGCCTTCACATAGACTGCATGTCGAGCTCAGAAACTGGGGAAGCTGGATATATCTGTCTCTGAGATCAAAGAGTGACAGGGTATGCAATAAGCTGACGGGAGAAAGCGAGAAAAATATCTAGCACACGGTACTGGAGAGAGCAATCGTGACTCTTTTTGTGTTTCAGCAGCCACAGATTCAGTGATGCGACTTTTTCACCCCAGCTCAGGTCTTATCTTTTAATAGCGATTTTAAAGCTGCACAACTCAAAGACTTCATTAAAACGTGCACTCAGAGCTGTACCACTTGGCAGTGAAATCGCGTCGGACAAAATTATTGTGCTGACAGCTTCAGTACATGTGCTAAGGAAAGGACACCCTGGGAATTACTGGCATTATTCGCCGTTCCAAAAGATTGCAGTCGTGTCACAGATCAGTTTCGCCAGTAAGAGTCACCCCTGGCCTGCATGAGGTGTTTTAAGGGAAAATATACATTTTATTGGGGGGAGGGGGGTGAGGAGCGAAAGACAGGAAGTGTGAAGGCACTCCTAGTGGACTGTGACTGAAACAGTACCTACAATGGGAGGGGTCAGCTCTGGGTTCAAGATGTAGAAACAAAAAGACAAACAAGAACCAAATGAGTCTCAACAAGCAAGTATAACTTATTCATTATTATACACCTTTATATTCAAGATCAAATTGCCAGAGATTTAATTGCCCACTATCTGTATTTTTAGCCATTCATATTAACCTGCCCTGTTATTTGACCTCAACACCTCAACCCTATAGACATTTTAACTAGAGTACTACTGCAGAAACAGGTTTAACATGCTCGGGGAATAAACTTTAGCTTAGTTCTTGTGAAATCATGACCTTTCAGTCAAGTAAAAAAACTTCATAGTGCCAGTCTAAGGTAATCAAATGACCAGATAATCTAATTAAACAAATGTACAGAAACATCTAGATGTTAATAAACTCCTCAAATAACCTTTTCTTAGTAGTTGCCTAAACCGTGATTTTTCTCCCCTCCCCCCACTTTTATATTTGAAATTGAGTGGAATAAATATGTTGAATCATGTCCTGGAATTACTACTATATGTGGACCTATTAAGTATTTTAATGTCTGATGAAACCCATGCATTTTAATACATTTAAAACCCATGCTGAACTTGAGAGACCCCTATTGGCCAATGGGCACACTGCACTACGGCTGCCTCAGATGTATGCATTGACGTTTCGAGGGCTCACCCTCCAGCAGGGTGGGGTCAATGCCATTGTCGGAGGGCCTGCTGACTGCCGGATATGTGTTGAACAGGTTGGCCACGAAGGCCATATTCAGCTTCTGGTTCCCGGCCACGACGTCCTGCGGGGTGACGAACTGCCGGCAGTCGAGCCGCGCTGCCTGCCTCAGCATGAGCTCCGCCCGCTTCTCCTCATCCGGCTCCTGGAGACAACATTCCAGGACCCCGTGAACGTTTGCCGTTTCAAGGCGATGGTTTCTGCATTGGCTCTGGGGTGGGGTGGCTCTCATCATTGATTTGCTAGTCACTCAACGCCCAACTAAATTCTCCCCCGTACTCCTGCAGATCTCTCCTCTTACGTTAAATCCCGACATGTCGATGACGACCATCAGCTCTTCCTCGTTTCCCCCCTTGGGTGCTATTTGATTGAGAAGATGGAAGTAGGCCTTGGAATCCTGAAGTAGAAGAGAGACACGTGTGTGTTGCGTCCCTGAAGGGTGACAGCGATACGAGGCCCAGCAGGCGGATGTACAGCGGCTGTGGTCCAGGCACCTTGATGTCATCGCTGAAGTTGCCAATTGGCTGCCATCCAGCATTGCTCAGGTGGTAGTTTACCCAACGGAGCAGAAGCTCCTCTGGAGACAGGGAGAGCAGGTGGTCCATCTCCTCGCTCTCCTGCAGCAGTGCGATGAGGGCTGTGGGCACATGGATGAATCACAATTTGCGATTCATATTATAGCTGCCATCCACAGGCACCACGCTGCTCTCACCTCTTACCTCCCCCCTCCCTGGGGAGTTAACTCACCTCACCTCAAGATACCAAAACATGACTGAGCTTAATAGGATTATGGAATGCAATCAGAGATGACACTCTCCGTGACCCCGCCTCCCACCAAAGCATTTCAAGGAGACTGTTAATAACTGTTCAGGACCATCCTCCACGACACAATCCCAATTATCTAAAGCAGTGTTTTTCATCCCAGTCCACATTTTTGGTCCCTTCCTACTCCCAACACATCTGTACTAGGCATTGGATATTCTTCACTGGCTGGGAGCTTGGAGAGAGCAACAATGAGGATTGTTTGGGGTTCCCCGCTAACTGGGTTGAGAAACACTGATTTAAAGTGCCCAACCTTCGTTTTTGGAGATCTCGATGTCGGCGAACAGGCCGATCTTGATGATTTGCCACAGCAGGCCCAGCACCAGGTGCGGCTTGCCGGACATCAGGTCCTGGGCATCTATATTGACGACTGTGCAGCCAATGGCGGAGGCGGAGTTAAGCGCCAGTACTAAGTTCTCCTGCAGCATTGGAGAGGTTTGGAGGAAATGATAAGCCAGCCATTGGGTTGAGAATCTATCCAACTCAACTGAGTTTAGCATTCAACACAGGCAAGTCCATAGAAATTACTCAGTGGGCTACAAATTTATAACAATATATGGGGGAAAGTAGACATTACACTTATAAATGATCTAAGTCTTTGGGGTTTAACTAAACACTGTCCAGGCTATCAATTTGCAACTGAAACACAAAGTCTTCCATTTTCACTACACAGACATGGAAAGACAGAAAGTCTTGTTGTGTCTTGTGGATGCAGCTAAACCTGAAAGTGAAAAGAAAAGCGTTTCGAAGCTGTGTAGCGTGGAAAGATGAGAAAGACTAGCAGGAGGTTAAGTGGAGAAGCTGTATGTAGCAGGTCATTTAGCTGAAACAAGTTAAGGCAGAAGTTTAAGAATGCACTTACAGTCATCGTAAATGTCGTGCGTTTCTTTGTGTTTATGACCCTCTCGTCAATCGTGTCCGGTTGGGATAAATTGATCATTTTGCTGAACAAAGAGAATTATGTGTTATGACTTTAAGAAAGAAGACCCGTGGAATAGTCATTGAAAATCCATTAAATAGCTGCATTTTTCAGTGTGAAAAACCTTAACATGGAGTGTGGTTTAGGTCTGAGACTGTTTAAAATGAAGGAAAAGTCAAATGGATAATCCTAGATTCATTATTATCTTGGGTCCAGAAAACCCCAAAATGTATTTTAGTCGTGTAAGGCTAAATGAGTAGAGAGTCATTAAATCTTCAGGTTGGCCAGAAGGGCTCTAAAGAAGTGAAACTTAAATGCTGAAAGTGAGCCATATGCTGCTTACTGTAGCAGACAGCATCAAAGGCAACTGCTGACACATGCAGTATATTAAAGTGCTGTTAGCCATCTGGGGCTCTTACCAGAGCAAGATGCCATCCTTGACAGATTTGAAGAGGCTATCGTTGACGGGGTCCATGGGAACAAGGTGCTTACAGTCGGAATCATTCGCCAAGGCCTTGTTGATCCAGTTAACAAAGGCCACCTTCTCCTCATCTGAGGGACAGCAACAGTCAAGCGCAGTTAAATATTTTCCCTGTTTCTCGTCAACACAAGCAACATACAATGGTGGTAAATGGATTAAAAATCCTTTCCGCTGGCCCAAGGAGGCCCATGTTAACTAAAACTGATTGGGTAAAACTTCTGTAACAACCCTATTAATTTTAAGATGCTCTAGATTAGATAAAAACATTTTATCTAAACAAAGAGTTTTTTTTTGCTGTGTGTACTACATCAGTCCAGATTAGGAGGCTTCCTCGTGGGTATAATATCTGACTCTATGAAACTTGACGCTGCAGCCTCTTGTTCGCTAATATAGTGCGTTAGCTGTTGAGCAGGCCAGCTAGATTCCCTCGATCCTCCAGCATTTAATCCTACATGAAAATTCCATCATGCAGACCATATCCACAGCATAATATGACTATTTAATATTTTCTGAAGCTTGGTGGATAGTAATAGAAGCCTGATATTAAGACCACCACCGGAGAGGTGGGTAGTTAGGATCCATAGAGTAAAAGTCCAGAGAAGGATTTTGTTTCAACCAACCAGTTGAGTACTAAGAGTCACAGTCACAGAGTAACTCAACTGGTTGGTTGAAACAAAATTTTGGTCTAGACTTTTACTCTCTGGACCTGGACCATCCACCTCTGTCACCAGAAGCTTGAGTTACCAGAGTAGGAGTGCTGGGTTCCTTCACTGGAGATGCCAGAGGTCCCACCAAATGACCTGATCCCATCTCTCCTGGTTATGGCCTTCCGAAAAGACTCTCTGATATCTTGGCTCTTCAGCTCCTGGTACATCTGACACGGGCAAAAAAAACAGCAGCGGAAGCGTTTTTTAGAACAATTTTATTCCACTGACAAGCTGGACGACTATGACGGGAGCGAGGGGATTACCGAAACAAACTCCTCAAACGTAATCTTGTCATCCTTGTTGGTGTCAGCAGCAGCCATGAATTTTTCCACTATCTCCCGCACCTTGAAGCCAGGAAGCGAGAAGCTGGCCTCTCTGAAGAGCTCTTGCAGCTCAAAGTCACTCACGTAGCCGCTGTTGTCAATATCTGAGTGGGATAAATTTCTCCTGTATTACCATGATTTTCCTGTCCTTCAATAAGTCTACAAACAACCAGGATACCGTGACGTGAATATCTGACATGTCCTAACAAAAAGAAATACAAAAAGAATCTACATTTTACGACACACAATACTGGCTTTATTGTGTACCATAAAGAACCAGGGGTAACAGCATCTGTCATTCCTGTAAAAGCTGCTAATGTTTGACATGCTCGTGTGCGTCTTGCATTTAATCAATTTTTGTCACGTAACCAGATGTAGATCTTGAAACGGTCTTCAGCGTCAAAACAAAAGAGCTCCTGTCCGATACTACCCTTCGTGTCTCTACGCTGTTTGACCTGCAGGTGTCGCTGGCCATCCCGCCTTTTCAATCTCTGTCTATCCCTTGTTTGTTCCCCTACTTCTTGAACTGGCGCATGGCTCAGGGGTTTGAGTGTGCAATAGAGAGGCTGTAACCCTACAGTTAGGGCTTCAAAGCCAGCTTCACCTGTTTTCTTAATAAACCCCTTTCGCCTTGGAGTTGCTAGTGGATCATCACCTTTGTCGCACCGCAACAACAGACAGCTCACCAATTTTATCGAACGCCTCTCTCAGTTCCTCCAGGTCCTCCCGGGAAATCTGGGTCACGTTGGTCTCCATGACTGACAGTTTGGTATTCCTGGAATACGCAGGCGTGGATTTTGGTTAGTCATATCAAGATAAATGCAAAGAGGTTTGACTTCGCTTGGAGCAAGGAGAAAAGTCACCGACTTTCCAAATTAAGTATTCCGTCATCCACCTTTATTTTTCCTCAAGATTCTTTTAAAAAATGCCAAGCAAAATGAATGTCGAGCAACATCCAATGACATGCTAAACATCTAACACAACATCTAATTCATTATTCTTGTTGTCTTTCAATCAAACTCGTCAGTGCCCATCAGGTTCAACTTTCAATCAGAGTGGGCACTGACCGAGAATTAAGATTAGAAAATGAACAGCTTCTCTTTCTCACATTGGTGGCGTTATAGCAACAAACAAAAAGAGACAAATGTCAATCTTTGATGAGGAACTTATACCTTGCTTTGTATTGAGTCTGTCCCCTGTCACATAGAGGTAGGAACCCTCAGAGGTTTAAAGGTAAGCAACTCCTTGCAGGTCCCAGGAAATATAGCCTGCTGTCCTCCAACCACTGTGAGAACCAGAAGCGGCCCAGCTGACTGGACTTTGATCCTCTAGGCTGAGCTGAAGGGCGTGTTCCTGCTGACGACACCTAACCCCCTTCCCCGGGAATCATGACCATTAAAGCCCCAGTACTTACTCAGCAGTATCTGCCAGTGCTTTACAGCCCTGCGGCATTATGGGACATAAGCCAAGGACACGCAGTTTGGCCTCAGTGCCAGATTCGTCAAGATCCGTCAATGAAGAGGTGATGAAGACGACAGGTACTATCTTCAGTTTTTTTTCCTCATATATAATTATTATTACTGAGGATGTCAGTAGTTAAGCACAGAACTCATTAACCGATTTATTGCTTAAGTAGCATTTACTGAGGCGACAGAAGACAGCTACACAGTAAGGAACAGATTGCAGACATAAGTGTGGTGCATATGAATAGACTGTGTTTGATGGTTTGAGGTACTGGAGTAGATTTTATTGTTTTTTGTTTTTTTAGGTGGGGGGGCACTTAAGCCTCCTGTGACATATATGTGGTATCATGGGTGTAAATTATGGGAGTGTCGTAACCCCCCCACCCCCACCCCAAATAATCAGAACCAGGCAATACAACCCCCACACCCCAAATAATTGTGATGAATGGGTGAGGACCTCAACATCCCTGATTACTCCAAAGGGCATATTAACTTAGCTGGGGGCCCCAGGGCATATTAACTTAGCTGGGGGCCCTAGGCTGATACCAGCATGGACACTCAGATGGTGCCAATTTAGCTAACTGTTACATTTTTCCTGAGGTGGGGAGGGGTGTAGGATAGTCCATGCTTTAACCCTCCCCTGAATGTGCCTCAGGATCAGAAGAATGCACATACATCTTAGGACAGGGCATCAGCTGCAGCTGAAAGCAAAACAGCTGAGGTAAGGGCAGGACCGAGGCCATTATGGCAACTGCTGGGAGTGAAATAATTACTGCTGTGGTGGCAGGGAACTGGAAGCTCTGCACCATTGGAGAGACAGATACTTAAAGGGGGGGGGTGTGGCGGCAGATGCTTAAAGGGGCGGTGTCCTGGCAGATACTTAAAGGGGCGGTGTGGCGGCAGATGCATAAAGGGGCGGTGTCCTGGCAGATACTTAAAGGGGCGGTGTGGCGGCAGATGCATAAAGGGGCGGTGTCCTGGCAGATACTTAAAGGGGCAGTGTGGTGGCTCCATCAGTAGCACCTGTGACCAAAGGCTGTGGGTTCAACTCTATACCATGGCTTGGTGCAGTTTGGATGCTCACCTCAACCCTGAATGGGTTCCTCAACATGTACAAACTTGCAGTGTAGGTGAACTGGTGTCTCTAATTTGCCCTGAATTTGTGAGTGTGTGTCCTGTGATGATCTGGCATCCCTACTAGGGTGTCCCGTATGTCCTTAATTAGGAAATCGGTGTGTTTAAAACACACAGGCCCCTGAGGTGACATTGCTCCATGTTGTAATAACAGATGACACAATACATCCAGCGTGAAGTGCTTTAGGAAAAGGCATGGTTCCTAAAATCATGAGCTAAAGAACATCACTTTGATGAACAAGTAATTCTGCTGTTCTAAATCCCACTAAAGTGGCCCATTAACCAATCAAGATTCTCTGACAAAGCACTTCATCCCCTGGAATCACTAAAGTGCATCTTAATCTTAAAACTTGCTCATTTTATCGTATTGTGAATGATGTTTCTGTACTACCACTGTTAACTAAAGTTAGGGAGTTTTTAGGGGGAAACAAAGAAACAAAGGGCAAACCCCCCAAAAATAACAGATGTATTCTTTTGTGAAAATCCTAAAACAGTAATCAGCTTAACAAAACTGTGTGAGATTTCTTTCCTTTCTTTGTTCCTCCCAGAGGGAAATGAAGTCTTGCTTTACCCTCTGCAAGAGAAGCTGAATCTTAGCAACGGTACCTTACTCAGACAGCCAAGGGAAAATCAACAGCATCAAACCACCAAACCCCCCCCCCCACGCAGTGGAGATCACCCCCGTAGTCCTGTCCAGGCCCCTGGAGAAGATCCCGAGGCAGGCATAGAGGCCTACTGCCCCCCCCCCCGGACACAGACCGTTGACGAATGCCTGAGAAAAGCCTACTTCCAGTGTTACTGAGGTTTTCTCAGTCTCTCTCACACTCTCACACACCTGGTGAGCACCCTTAATTATTTACAGCCTACGAAAGGGATCAGTTAGCCTCCTTTTTAGCAGAAGGGCTGCCAATACCCCCCCCACCCCCAACCCTGACCTTTTGTGTTACTCTCTCCACGGCAACCGGCTCCCCCGTGTACCAGCCGGCTGTCTGTCTGTGTTTATCCATCACGGCCGTCTCCCCATCAACGTCGGAATTCTCTAACCCACTAAGGAGCCTAGATGCCGATCAATTAAACTGGTAAAGCGACTCCAGTCTTAAGTTACTGCCCAGTGCAGCTTGGCACATCATGGCGAATTTGAAAGACTGAGCCCAAGAAGAGCAGAAGCTTATCTCAACTGCTTCTGCACGCTGTCTGCATTTATTTATGCTTGATGCCGTGGGCAGCACTTGCAGGCAATCCAACACCTGCAATACAATCAAGCCAATACATCTGTGGTACATGCGCCGCCTGCCACAGAATCAACCTAATACTCAAAGTTACCTATCTACAGGAGAACATAACTTTGCGCATGGTGCCGAGAACCTTACCGCTTCCAGTCGGGCTGCGCACTACTTCTGCATCCAGTGATGAGGCATGAGTCTTTACAGTCTTTTGTGCTGAAGCTGTTCAGTTTGATCTTCTTCTGGGCATGACTGGTGAAGGTGTCTCCTCAGGCAGTGATCATGGGAGGGTGTAGAAGGGTTGGGGAAGGGAGAGGGATGGGGGGGAGGGGGGTCAATTGACCGTGTCACGGCTAAGACAGGCGGCTCACGCTCCAATGCACAGCTGCCCGGAGAAGCTTCTGGACCAGGTGTATGTGGGACCAGCCGGCTGGTGAGAGTGTGTACACCGCCAGGTGCTGTCGCAGAGGAGAGTGGATAGGTCCCTCTGCTGTTCTTATTGTCACGTGTGTGCTCTGGTACTCACACACACACATTCACACACACGCACACACACTGCGCTTCACTCAGCTCCCCTGGGCACTGTAGCGTGGCACCTCCTATGTCCCTAAGTGGGAGGTCCCCAGCCTGACACCCTGGCACAGAAATACCTAAAAAGCCCTTCCCTCTAAAAGCCACCAAGCACCAGCGGAGTCCACTGTTTTCCACTTTTGCATAACATGGACTCTAAGTGGTAGCCTTAATCTACTAATTATACCATAATCTAACTGGACAAATACCAGTGCTATTATCATGACAGTATACACCTGCCTAAAAGCAGTAGCTTACAGTATCAGGCATTTTAACAAACTGGCTATTTACTAATTTAGTGCAGAATAAGTATTAGTTAAACATATGCAACAATATTTTTGTTAGGACATTTATTTGGAACCAACCCCATATTTGTTAAAAAGTGTGTATTATAGGCATTTAAATTTTACATTGATACTGTTTACCGTTGATTTTGTAATAGACTAACAGGTGGTTATGAAGGCGCACTATAATCCACACCACTGAACGTTATGAAAAATATATGAAAAATAAAACATAAGAAAACATAAATCATATTGCAATGCACAAGATATTGATTTGTAATTCTACAGAACTAACTTCAGGGGCTAGGAGAGGGCTGCGGATTACCTCATGTATTACCCTAAACGTTGTTGAACCCCTATATTCCTGTATTATTATAAATAAGCAACCTTTATAAAAATCGATTATACAACTAAACGTAACGTGCAGCGTTACCATTGGTAGTAATTATGAAAAGGGAAAATGATAAGCGACAAAATTATCATTAATTTGACTCATTTTGCACCATCTTCTTTGAGATCATTGTATACACGTATGTTATACTGGGACTTCATATGTCATGTTTGCAGCGTCCTCCTGTGGAATCAGGCGGCAGTGACACTATTTTTTCCTTGTGTGTTGCGTCGGTAAATAATACATAATTACAACGTCAAAGGATTAAAAATTCATTCTCCTATGTAAATGAATAAGTTATAGATTACGTAAACAACGTTATATTTTCCAAACCACTCGATTCGATGTTTTTACTGCAATTTTATTAAGGTTTTCTTAAGCAGAAAGTTTGTCGCATCCTTCTCTTAATGTTATTCATGCACATTGTTTATGTGTTTTACCAAGATTGCACTACACAGAATACCGAATGCACACACTGTCATTTATAAAGTACGTAGGCTATGAATAAAAACAGTACAGCCTTCGACAGCATTATATCATCACGCATCACTGGAAATACTGTTCCGATGTGCTCTATCAGAATGCAAGCTATATCTTTTATTGCAACCTTACCGACAGCAAAGGCCTCTTACATACCCTCATTTATAAAAGCGTTTAATTTGATGCGGCATCTTAAACAAGAGTTATAAACCCGGGAGGATTAATCTTTCCAAAATTTTGTTGACATAAACGACGACATGAATCCCAGTTGGTGTCTTGGCGACGCATATCAGTAATCTTTTACTTTGAATTTGTATTATCTACCGTCTCGCTTTTAAATAAGATTCTGCACTTGAATTAATAAGCATCCGACTGCAACAACAGTAAAAACGCGAGTCTAGACTTCGAAAGGGGGCGGTACCAAACATGAGATTGACCGGGCAGGGAACCAATAGTATTGCAGCATCTAAAGCCGAACGCTGGTAGTTCCATCAATAGCGGCTTGGGATAGGAGGGATTTTTTTGCCTTTAAACCCTGATTGAATCGGTCCGGTTACAATTAGTTAAAAGATATAGCACAATAGAAAGCGGAATAACGGATACAGACGAAATCACTATACGCCTGGACTGGACGCAAAGATTCGACATTTCCTTTTACACCAACACAGGGGATCGAGCGGAGGCTGGCGACCGTAATTATGTGCGATTTTGTCCATTAAAACATGATTTCTCTTTGTCGCTCGTGTAACACTCGGATTTCTTAAACTGCCGGGAAATGGTTACATTGATTGTCAATGTTTAAGGGTGTGTTTCTTGAAAGCAGGCCGCCTTCGTTCTCCATCTGCAATGGAATCATCTCGGAGCTGTTTTTTAATGGATGTATTTTGCACTATATCTGCCGAATGAGGATACTTGCGCACTGCAGTAAAATGCCCCGTTTACGTTATCGTATTTTAGATGGCAGAGTTAACATTAAATAACCAATTGCTCTGGATCACCTAATCTACACCCGTCGAATTTTGTTTTTTTTTTCTTTATTTTTCGTTCGACTAGTGTGGGCGGTCCGACCTCTCCTGTAGACCTGGCATATTTTACATCTAAGGCGCTTGTACAATCCCAGTCGTTGCATAAATGAAAAACAAACAGTATCATCTTAAGTTGACGGCGCCCTGGGAAAAGGATGCGAGTTTTGGGCGAAAGCTCAAAACATACAGGAACCATACCAAAATAATCGCCCATCCAGGAATCGTGATGAAAGTGTTGCGCAGGAAGCGGATCGTCTTATTTATAGCGTATTTCTTGCTCCTAGTTCTGACCATGCTTAATCTAGCTAACTACAAATGGACTAAGGAGCCGCAGCAATGCAATCACCAAATGAGAAGTGCGACTTATCAGGGCAGGTCGGACATACGCTTTCTTTATAGACCGCCCCTGGCTAAGAAGAGGCAGCTCGTTTATGTCCTGACAACTTGGAGGTCCGGATCCTCGTTCTTCGGGGAGCTGTTTAACCAAAACCCGGAGGTTTTCTTTTTGTATGAACCCATGTGGCACATCTGGCAGAAACTGTATCCAGGGGATGCCGTATCTCTCCAAGGAGCAGCCAGAGACATGCTAAGCTCCTTGTACCGGTGTGATCTCTCAGTTTTCCAGCTGTACAACACACCGGGGAACAAGAACATTACCTCTCTGGGGCTTTTCGGTGCTACACTTAACAAGGTGATCTGCTCCTATCCCCTCTGCTCAGCTTACAGGAAAGATGTGGTGGGCATGGTGGACGATAAAGTGTGCAAGAAGTGTCCTCCTCAGAGCTTACGGCTTCTGGAAGAGGAGTGCCTCAAGTATAACACCGTGGTGATAAAAGGGGTGCGCATCCTGGACGTCAATGTTTTAGCCCCTTTGATGGAGGACCCCTCTTTGGATCTGAAGGTGATCCACTTGGTGAGAGACCCCAGGGCGGTAGCTAACTCCAGGATCAAATCGCGGCATGGGCTGATACGTGAAAATTTGCAAGTGGTTAGAAGCAGGGATCCTAAACTTCGCCGGATCCCTTTCGTAGACCCCAACCACAAAGTAAACAAAAAAGACGGGTCTGACTACCACTCCATCGGGGCCATGGAAGTGATTTGCGACCGGACCTCCAAGACGTTAAGAACGGCCTTAAACCCTCCAAGCTGGATCAAGGGGAAATACATGGCAGTGCGTTACGAGGACCTGGTGGAGAATCCCATCAAGACGCTGAGAAACGTGTACCGGTTCGTGAACCTGTCGGCAAATCACGACATCGAGTCCTTCGCCCTGAACATGACGAGCGGCACCAGCTCGTCCTCAAAGCCTTTCATTGTCTCGTCCCGAAATGCGACGCAGGCAGCCAGTGCGTGGAGAACTGCGCTGAGTTTCCAGCAGATGAAACAGGTGGAGGACTACTGTCAGCACTCCATGAACATCCTGGGTTACGAACGTGTGAGGACGGCCGGCGAAGCCAAGGACCTCGGCAAATCCCTGTTGACAGCCCCTAAACTGTGACATTGTCCGTACCAAAGACAGTGATTTGCATATTCATGCTTCCCCCCCCCCTTTTTTTTTTTGCATCAAGAACAGTTTGTTGTGAAATTTTCAAAAAGTTCAAGCTTTATTTCAATGTCATCGTTCTTGGAGAGTTTCACAAGGCACGTTGGAATGTATTATTATTATTATTATTATTATTATTATTATTAATATTATTTAATCCAGTTGAATTTGTTTAGAGCATTACGTTTAACTTGGACCACTGGATATTTGACGATGCTACGCCACTCATTTTTTTAGTTGCGGCCTTTCAAAGTAAAGAAACTGGGATTGTGTACAATGCAACTTAGGATACTGATGCAAATGTTACTCGAGTTGCGTTAAAAGTTCAAATATGCTGGAAAATTCTAGTGGTTAGCTTTCACAAGTATGTCCAGGGGCGTTGCTAGAGATTTTGGGCCCCATGAAAGCATATCATATTAGGCCCCCCAGTCCAAACCAATCCAGTTATTTTCCTAATTTTTTAGGGCCCCTGTCACTCGGGGGCCCTTGGAATCGTCCTGGCTTTCCTCCCCCTTACGGCGCCCCTGAGTATGTCCATGTGAAAGTGTTAAACTGCGGGGAAGGATCTTTACATCATGTGAGAATAACTGTGCTCTAGTAATTGTATGTTATGTTTGTATGTTCTCGTGCTTGTTGAACTCTACAAGAGACAATCATTAAAATGTTCTAACAATTACTTTGTGCAATATATAAATATAAATCTTTTTTATGCAGATTGACTTCATATTTCTATTAAGTCATTATCTGTCTTTTGCTATGCCATAGACGCTTCGGAAATCGTGCCAAACTGTCTTATCTCCAGTCGTAGAATGTCAAACTTGTCCTATTGCCAAAAAATTAAATGTATTCATAAGTCTGACTGAAAACAGACCAGCTTTACATTTTTCAGAGGGTGGTGTTTGTGTTGTTTCGATATTGAGACATGCAGTTATAATGCTGGTATTGATAGGGAGCTTATAAAACATTCAGGAGAGCATTTTTATTATTCATATTAGATGAAATTTGAATATTAATTTCTAAAAGTGTTTGACCTGTATAGTGATACGATGGATAGCCATAAAATGAAGGCTGCCAGTTGTGTTCCATTTAAAACGTTTGCTAATTATCGTATAGCATTATGCTTCCATTACCCTTACAGACGGCAGTATTTGTACCATTACTGAGGATGGGTCAGAACTCAGCTGAGTTGTGCTCTAATGGTTTATAGAGCTGAACTGGAACGTGATTTTGGACAGTGACATCATGATGATATTTCAGAATGATGATTTTATTGTCTTTTTATTGTCCCCTAATTTAGTGACGTAACAAATTACAAAGTGCATTTTATGTACAGCTATCATTCGTGTTAATGTCTAAATTTTTTTTATCAGTATTATTACAATATTAAATGTCCTCGACTGTTTAGGTCATATTTTAAATGTTGGATAAAATGAGACCAGTGTGCTTCATTACTGTACATGTGTGAGTGAACTAATGGAAAGACATACGTACAGAGTACGGGTACAGAGTACGGGTACAGAGTACGGGTACAGAGTACGGGTACAGAGTACGGGTACAGAGTACGGGTACAGACAGGATATGCTTGGTTTTGTTGCACTGTAAGCACTGTGTGTGGCTTCTCAGCTGCTTTGAGCCAAAACCGCAAGGCCATTGTTTTGGAGCTACGGCTGGTGCAGATGGTTTACTCCATGTCAGAGAGAGAGAGAGAGAGAGAGAGAGAGAGAGTCTCGTGAGCGAGATCGAAGCTATTCGGCCTGCTTCCTGTCACAGTGTGAGGATGCCTGTCCGGCAGCTTCTCATGTGTTCTCCAGCTGCGAGGCACCAGCGATTAACTTCAGCAGGTGTTCTGTGTGGACCAGCACGCCGCAGAGCTGGAGAGATGGTGGGAGCTGAGGGGGAGACTCCGTGTCCTCTTTTGGGGGAGATGTGTGGCTCAGCAGGCTAAGCCTCTGTTCCTGTGATCAGAAGGTTGCTGGTTCAAGCCCCCTTTGGTAGATTAGCTACATGTCCATAGACTCTTGAGCAAGGTCCTTAACCCCCAGCTCCCTGGGTGTCACAAGGTGGCTGTTCCTTTGCTGTGACCTCAAGCTTTGCTCTAACCTGTATGGAAAATTTCCCCATGGAGATTTTAATAAAGTATCACTGTTCTATTCTAGTCATCTCCAAGGAGAGACTCCGTGAGTGATAGGGGCCCAGGCCCTAATTCGCTCAAACTGAGGCCTTGAAGGTTTACATTTGCACCGGACATTTAGACACAAGAGGGTGAGAGTGCAGTATGTTGGACTCAAGCCCAGTACAACAAGGACCATTAGAGCGGGTCGGTTCATGGAGAACGAACAGAAGACGGCAAAGCGAAATACAGATTGCACTTCGCCGCGCCTTGCCTTTCCTCGAGATCGCTGCTGCTAATTTAGCTGTGCTGAACCAAGCAGAGTGCGGAGGCGGTGATCGATATTTATCGATTGCAAAACAAAAATGACCTTCAAACTTCGAACCCCCTTGAGTTTTGACATAAACTGAAAAAAAAGAATATGATGTTTTCAGCTGACGTTTGCGCATTAGAAAAATTCGGACATGTTACATTGCATTACAAGCGGTTTGATTTTTGATTTACTTGACCTTTGACCTTTGTAGGAAGGTATCAGTGTGAGAAGAGGGGGTGGGTTCCGGGTTCCTGGTGTTGATTCCATCCACCTCTAGCTTGTTCTTAGAAAATGCAGAAATCTGTGTCTCCTGTTCCTTCCCCCACAGGTTTGATGTCAGCCCCAAGCACTTTTGTAATTGAATCGAATGCCAGTTTTCCTGTTCCCAGACTATCATGACTGAGCATATTTCATCATTGTTTGGAACGCCAGAATGGCGTCTTTGTTTGTCACGTCTGTTTATGTTTTGTGTGTCTTGCCAAAAACTACCCCTGTCCCACTCTGTAACCTCCTTCCCGTGTCACTTCCTGGCCAATCCCTGAGTCACATGGTTCTAATTGCCATCCTCGTTTGAGGGGTTTTCAGTCCGTGAAGTGTTTTAAAATGTGAATTAAGGAAACGCCAGCAATATGAAGCGACTTGACTGAAGTACAGCAGACTAAAGGGTTTCCAGCAAGGTTTGCTGGGAGAGGTATATTTTAAAAATGCAAATGAAAAAATCATGCTGTCACACATGACGTAACCGAAGTCTTTGTTCTCTCTGGGATGTGATCTGAAATATCACTGTAAAAGGAATACTATGCCGTTGGACAAATGATGATGCTGGGATGGACTTTGATCTTAATACGTCTCATAGGCAAATTATATTTATTTATTATTTGGGCAATGCAGTAATTAATGCCTCAGGAGTCGTTAAAGATGAAGGATGGGACTGTAGGGTAGCATTCGCCTTGCAGAGGGTTTTACTCGTGTCACAGAGTAAATTGGCTGTCAGCCTGTGTCTTTTCCATTTTGAAGAGTTAAAACAAACACTTCTAGCTTGTCATCCAGCTGACACACAGATAGCGCTGTCACTTCACTGTGAAACGTACGTCGGAAGATCTTAAAATTAGACTTGACCAAGGCATGAAGCTAATCAGATTTATTATTTTAGAAGAGAAGGGCCCTATTTTAACAGGTGGGTTTAGTCATCTTAATTTCAGGCGGACCTCTGATCCAAACGCGGTAACGTGATTCTGCCCTGCGTGAAGGTTCGGGTGTCAGCGCGGCTGTCTGCTCTGTGTCGAGCTGGAGCGGTGTGGGGGTGGTGGGGGGCAGTGGTTAGATAACGCGGGAGAAGACTGTGAAAACATGCTATTTTAAGTCCTGACAAGAACAAAGAGGTAAAACAACAAGCCAGCATCTGCCAAAATAAAAAAAACGCAAAATGGTTTAACGGATTTTGCTCATTCGAGACGGGAGTCTGGCACAAACGCGACCGCAGGAGAGATGCTCCTGACAGAGGAGAGGAACATGGTGCAGAATTTTGGCAACAGCAATTAAAATGTGTAGACGGGTCACCAGAAACCTCTGGAGAACCAAGAACCCATTTGGCACCAGTTGACTGTAGCCATACCAGAGCGACAGTCCCAAAAATGCCCGAAAATACCCCAGCTGAACCTGGCAGCTCCTTAAAAGGACACGACGAGCCTGAATGTCGATGGCGACTGGAAATCTTCCCATAATTCTGAGCTCAGCTCTAAGATGTGGAATGTTGCTGGCTTCATGGTAACTGAAAAGCCGAAACACTCACATGATAGATTATTTTCCTTTTCAGGGGTGAAGCCAACACAGTAAAATCAGTAACTATAGAGGATGGTCGAATAAAATATCCTTTGGTTAAGCACATTTAATGAATGTGTAAACACCAGCCTTTCCATTTATTGTGGATCGTAAACTTGCCTGTAAAACAGGAAGGGAAAACATGTATTAATAAAATCTTTAATTGACTGCAATATTGACAGAACCATACAGTTATGTAAAGTATAATTTCCCCAAAACCGCACTCCTCTGTAATGGAAAGATCTTAGACAACAGAGGGGAAAAAGTTACGCTCAGCTTCTGATGAAGACAGTTCTGTTTGGAAACAGCAAAATCAATGGCAGGCAAAATGGCAGCATCTGTAGTTTATGTCAGCATCTTCAGTTTTGCATCCAGCAGTTTTCTGTAGAGAATTGAAGGGTCTGCAGTGACTCCCACACTTTATGCTGTGGAGCAGTTATAGACTTTGACACAAGAATTCCAGATCAAATGGGAGTGAGTAACAACACATTTTGAGTAAAAGTGCCAAGGAACAGTTGTGAAATATCCTTTGTTTTGGAGCTTAACCACTGCAGTGGTCAATATGGGGTCCGGAAAGGCCCGGAGAGGGCCCCCATTCCATAATTGGTGCTGGTGTAAGAAAGTGAATTAACGAAACTGCCCCCCCACCCCCCAATTCAGCAATATCCAGAGTGGAGGGGAGGTTGACAGAACCTGTATCTGTCTCCTGGTTACCTCCTGCTTAAGTGTGGCAGCATCCACTGTAATGAAAAACAAGTGTCACTGTGAGAGCTGTCTCTTTCTGGCAATGGGGGCAGTGTTTTAAAGGCACAGTCACCTTAATTGATGACAGATGAGTTAGGGGACTTTATATCAGTGACAAACAACAAATTCGGAGACAAAATGGCTCTCAAAGGCCCTTTATGATCTTTACAGCACATGTAAAGAAGTGAAAGGACATAAAATGACCCTTTGCACACATCATGGTTCACTTAACTGAAATGACATATGTACCTGTCAGATGAGCTAAAATGCTTGACAGGCTTGACAAGGACAGGGAAGCGTGTTACACATGTGTACTGGTATCAGGCATGCAGTGTGGGACATGTTACATGTCTCTGCTTGTGACCTTCTACTTGGATCTATAGGCGTTGGCAACATAGATGCTCTGGTTTCAGTCAAACGTCTGTGCTCTGTCACATGACTTGGATTTTTTTTTGCATTGCAGATCTAGAATGTTTGAAACTCTACAGTGGGGGATAAAATTATATCAGAAGTACCAATCTTAATTCAGAATAAACCAAGACGTCACTGATGTTCACATGCAATCACATGCGTTATTAAAACTCAAGAAGCTCAAATCGGTGACTCGTCATGGTCCCAGGGTAACTTTTCTAGCTCTAGGCCTGACCTTGTGGCCATTGCCACTGAGGACAGTGAAAGCCGGGCACGCCAATGAAGTAAAAACAGGGTCATCGTGTTCAAAGAAA